TTGCTGCGGCCACAACGCAGAGTAGTAACCACTGTACGATCACGGCCGGCCCCATGTGAGAGATGTAAGCAAACCTCGGATAATTTGTTACAGAAAGCACAAAAGAGAAGTGTGATAATCAATCATCAATGTTGATCTATTAGACTCTGGCACTGGTCTACACAAGTAGAGTTCAGAAAATCCTTTTAATTCAAAATAATCATATTCATTTGAATTTTAGATTATTGTGGAACATATTACAATCCTCAAACCTGGAAAAAGCTATATCATTTTTATTTTTGTTTATTTGTTTGGTGTTGAAAATGTCATGAGTCATTTTGAAAACTAAAGCATCTACATATGAGGCTATATAATGACTCATTCACAGTATTTCAGAGGTGATAATGCAGTTAATCCACACTCATCCAGCTTTGGTTTCAGTCATGACTGCTCCTCCTACACCAAGGTCAGCAGATATGCTTCACATTATCCAGCTTCCCACCTGTTTCCCATGGGCCTAACCTCCCTTCAACCCACATCAAACTCAACCGGCCCAATCAAGCAGATAAACTGAGCCACGGCCCGTTTACACTGTGGGCTTCTTATCATGCAGAAATAACCGATTTCCCCTCATAACAATGTAGGGAATCTTTTCCTGAATACATATTAATTAAAAACACAGGTTGTAAAAGCATGACTATATAGTACTAGAGGTCGTGTGTTAAACGTAGAGGGTGAGAATAATAACCCTGTCAATACTGGCTCGTGGCGGGTTCTGGTTGCCTCGGGGTAAAATGATTTAACATCTAATACCAATTTCTCCCACATAACCTTAGGGCAAGAAAAATATAAAAGTGCATAAATGTTTTTTTTTTAGGCCTTTGCTCTTACCTGTGAAATATTCTTAGCACTATGATACACAGCTATTTACCCAAATCTACAAGTCACAGTGACATTTAATCAGTGACATTTAACCAGACACCGTTTGTCCCTAAATGACATCCGAACCCATCCTTATAATCATTCGTGTGCTGAAGAAGGTCAAGCTCACCTGCCTCTGCCTCAGGCCGCCAGCACTGACCTAAATCTTAATGGAGTCCTTGTGTCGCTGAGTGTTTTCTTATCTCACATGTATTACAGCTTCACTCCTTGACCCTCTGCAGTTGGCCTCAACAGGGTGAAGTGTCTGCTGTGTCAACTTGGTCCCATAATTTGTCCAAGGACTCCGGTAAAAACCCCCAATCACTGCCATAAGGGCATTGTATGTGTGGTATACAGTAGCTCGGAATTCAGCACCATCATCCTGGAAGTGCTCTTGCGGGCAAATTTCCCAGCTGAACATCACTTCATAAATCTGCTGGTGGATATTATTAGACTTCCTTTATCAAACCATGGACCTCCAGCTTCTTTGTTGTATCGCTGAGAGAAATGTCTCTATCACCCCTTCTGCTCCCTGTGCACCAATGGCTCTTGCTTCCTGTCTGTCAGATGGCCTACGTTTGAGGATGATATGACCCTTTTGGGTCTCTTGAACACCGGTGAAAATAGCTGTTTTATGCCATGATCCATCAGCAGCTGACAATACTACAAAACATTAAAGGTGAGGATGCAATTGCAAAGAAAAATGCTTGAGATTGACTAATGTTGAATTGGGTGCCCTATGGTTGTTTCTTGTTTTGCTTTTTGCTTGGAGTCCTTTGTGTTCAAAAGAGCCAGCTGAGGGGGTTTGGGCATCTGATCAGGATGCCTCCTGGGTGCCTATCGTTGGAGGTTTTCCAGGCATGTCCAACTGGGAGGCGGAGGAGAGCGGACCCAGAACACATCGGGGAGATCTCATCTAGCTTTGGACCCGCTTCGGGATCCCAGAAAAATATTGCTACAGAGAAGG